CCCAGGCACGGGGCCGGGAGCGGGGCCCCAGTGTGGGGCCCCAGGCTCGGGGCCAGCGGCTGGGGAGCAGGGCCGGTGGCCAGAACCCAAGCCCCAGGCTGGGGAGTGGAGGCCTGCGTGCGGGCCCCCCGCATAAAACCTGGGGGTGCTGCAGCATCCTCCGCACCTCTAGTTTCCATGCCTATAAGGGAGCCCATACCCTCTTCTCCCAGCCCGCTTCTGATGCCACCCTCTCAAATGGTAACAAAAAGGCATCAGAGTCATCCAACAGGCCCATTTTGCATAGTCCCAAACCCTCCACAGGGTTATCACCCCAAACCAGGGGACTCACCAGCTTCTCCATGAGCTGTTGCTGCACCTGCGCCTGGCCCATAATTGCTGGCGGCTCTGTTGTTCTGCCTACAGGATAACAAGGACAGTCTCTCTTGTCACTGGGTCTGCTGAAACTCTTCGAGGGATTTCTGCAACTCCTTCTGCTGTTCCACTACCCAGCACATCTTCTCGTCAGCTCCCCTCTCCAGTCTCTCTCCTACTGGAGAGTGGAAGATCCTGGACAAAATCCCACTTGTCATAACGCAGGGTTCCTTCATCCTGGATTCTTACTGCAAACACTCCTCATGCACACCAGTGACAAGTTCAACACCATGTGCTTTATTTACAATGTGCTTTATAAATCTTTGTTCCCCACCGCACAAGACTTTTCCCCAAGTCTTTACCTATTACCAAAGTACTGGGGGAAGGGGGGAGGAGGAGCAGGGGAAGACAAATCTCACCTCTCTGAGATCTTGGGCTCCTCTAACCCTTCCTTCTAGCCTTCCCCCATCCTTACCAGAGGCAAATTAAGCTTTTGTGGGGCCCTGGACCAGAGCAAGTGGGGGCCCCTCCCCACCCCTGCTGCCTGCAGTCCCCCTGGCCTTCTCTGCACTCCTGCCGGGGAGCGGGCTCAGGGCATGGGGGCGTCCATTTTTCTGTGGCCCCCCAATTGGCCGTTGGCCCATTGTCTAATCCACCACTGCTCCTTACTATCTCTTCCTGGCTCTCTTTTAACTGTTTCCAGCTGACAAGCTGAATCACCTTAGTAATTGATTAATCACCTGGTACTTAATCCATCATCTCCTCAGTTTGGCCCATGTGGGGACTCAGATAAAGTGCACAGTGCGATGAGCCAGCCTTAGGCAACGCACAATCTGTCACAATCCATTTGACCATTTGAACTCTGCTTGCAGCCTAGGTAGATGAACTCATCAGCATTCTCCACAGTACTCAATCCCACCTGCACCGAGGATTCCTACAGCCCAGCTCTGAGGTTCTGGACCTTGGTCTTGTGCCATGAGATATTCCAACCCCATTGTGCAGGCAGCATCTTGGAGACGTTGGACGGCAGGGCTCAAAATCTCTGACTTGTCCACATGCGAGGCTGCATCATCGACATCATCTTAGTCTGTGAACACTTTTTGACCAAACTTGATTCCAATGTGTAGAGCAACAAGTCCTAATATCCAGTCAATGGGTCCACAGAATAGTGCCTGGATGAGAATACATCCCTGCCACAGACCTGAGTTGTGCAGAAACGTGGCAAAAGCCATGAATCAATGCACACTCTTGTTCCGGTACTGCTGTGAAGATCACGGACCAGATGCAGCAAAACAAAATGCAGCCTTGTCAGCCGAATCAAAAGCAGCTTTGAGGTTGATGTACACCACAGGAAGCAGGCAGTTAAATTCTTGATGAGGCTCAGCCAGAAGCCAGCGGGTAAGGACAGTGTTGATTGTTAACTGCCCTGCAATGAAACCTGATTGTTCTGAACGATGATGTCTGTTAAGGAGCGGCTGCATCCTACCATGCAGAATGCAAGGGAAGACCTTTCCAGGGACCAGTAGCAATGACGTATAGCAGGCGTACAGCAGGGGTTCTCAAACTGGGGGTCGCGAGGTTATTACATGGGGGGTCGCAAGCTGTCAGCCTCCACCCCAAACCCCTCTTTGCCTCCAGCATTTATAATGGTGTTAAATATATAAAAAAGTGTTTTTAATTTATAATGGGGGTTCACACTCAGAGGCTTGCTATTGAAAGGGGTCACCAGTACAAAAGTTTGAGAACTACTGGCGTATAGGATGTGAGAGAGGAACAGGAATCCTTTCCATGGGCTGCCAACCGATGTCTGAGCTGTGTCCCTGAGGTTACTAGAGACCGATGACTGACGTATCCCATGCAGGACTTTGACAAACACTCCCTTTGCCCATTGGATTAAGGGAGTGGGATAGAAGGATCTGCACAGTGGCGAATCCCCAGCCCTGCCCAGGATCTACTCCTCTTCCCCCAAACACAGGCTAAGACTCTGCCTCATACTGGGAGTGTGCAATCCTTGCACAGCTTCCCCAAAACCACGGCCATCCCTTGAGTAGTGGCATGCCTGGGTCTGATGCACAGGGAGCCCTCCAGGACCATGAAGAATGGCTCTAGAGCTGCCCTGTCATAGTGTCTTTCAAATTTTGAGCAGAAAGTTTTAAGCAACGTTTTAAAGGCCTTTCAACACAAAGGGAATTTCTAAAACATTGAATACTATAGAGGTGGCTGTGCTACAGCATATTTTAGCATGTTTCATACCATCTCTTGAGGGTAGAGATTTAATAGAGAGAGAGAGTCATAGTAGAGCTGAAATGAAATTGTATTTAATAAAAGATGTTTAAGAGCAGCCCCAAGGTAGTAGCGAGCTCTTTTACTATCGTTTTTGGAGTGGCAAAAGCCTCAGTATTAAGTACAAAACCAAAACCTGCTTCCTCGTTTAGTTCCCACAGTAGATCTGATGGCTTTTGTGATGCCCTGTTTCCCTGCATTCATTGAGTTATAAATGCTCCTGCCCCCATTAAGTCAATCAGAATTTTGCCATTGATTTCAATGGGAATCGGAGCAGGCTCTATGGGCCAAATTTTCAAAAAAGCTCAGCGCCCATAATTGGGACCAGACTTTCAAAAGAAGTGGCCTATGGGCTGAGCTCTGCAGCTGGGAATCAGTGTCACAATGGGAGCTGCTGGGTGCTGAGCACTTGAAAATCTGGCCCGAGGTAACTAGTCTTGTGCTCAATGGAGTCCGTGGGAGTCTGTCAGCAACTTGCGGGGAGGCGTTTACCACTTCTCTTTGCAAGAGCGGAGGCAGAGAATCTGGTACATGAGTAGAAGAGGCATGGCCAAGCTGTGGAGCCTTGTGAATAAGTCTGAACTGCTTATGATAGTGCAGGAAGAGACACATAGGCCAAACCACTTGACTCTTGAAACTCATGATGTGTTTTGAACAGCGAAACATTTTCTTTGTTTAGGGATTATACATCCGAGAGAATGATAAATCTGTCAGTGGCAACTGTCAGCATCATTGCTTTCCAGTGAATAGTCAGAATTTCCTCAGAACAAAGGCTCTTTGTTCATTAGGAATTCATGTGGTGGGTGCTGTCAATTTAGTCAGCCCCTCCTATGACAGCCTCCTCTCTTTCTTTTCTTTCAGTCATTCCAGCTGATACTGGAAACATGTAAAGAGACACAGGCAAGTCAAGTTTTGATAATCTAATCTTCCAAGAAATTTCTCTCATGGTGGGTGACAATCAAGCCACACTTTTCTTAGAATAGGATTTTGCTACATTTCTTCATCGGATATATGGGTTGGATCCAGTAAGATTTTGAGGGCTTTCATCTCCTGTTGACCTCTATGGGAGTTGAGGGCCTGGATCACCTCTCAAGATCGGGTGCTATCTCACGGTGAGAGTGCCTGCTACGACTCAATCCTGCTACGACTCAAGTCAATGGGATTTTTGCTACTTCTGTGCAAGTAGAATGAAACCCCTACTATTACAGCAGGAAGAGTGGAGATCTTCTTATAAACCCATCTCCTAATTGCATATACATTTTTGTATATACCTTTAGATAGTATAAAGTAGCCTTTATAAAGAATAAGCTGAGTAGTTGATTTTCATCTTGGAAAAATACATTTTTAGGCTATAAAGCCTCAATATTTTAATTCCTATTATTAAAAAATGATTTTGAATTCAGTAAATCAGACATCACGTCAAACACATGTTATATTGTCATATCAGTAATTAGTACTTTCCCCTCATTAGTATTTTTCTGTACTGATATTTCCTTTAGTTAGCTGCATTCCTCCCCACCCTACCTTTCTTCTTCCATAAAGAATTATCATATATTACAGAGGGGCCAATCAGTTTCCACTGATCTGCCTTCAGAGGGATCCCTCGGTGTATAGATCCTACTGCTCCCATGCAGAAAAGGGGGGCAGCTGTCTGTAGCAATGCCCCTGATTCCCATGAAGGGTGCTATGTGGATCTGGTGGTGTATGGAGGGGCAGGGAGCAGTAATGGTGGGCTGAAGGAGGAGTGAGCAGGTCAGTAATGTAGCGGGGAGGGGGACACATCCCCCCCCAATACACACACTTGTCATCAGGACAGAAAGAGAACATCATGACCCAAGCAATATGATTATTCTGCTAGACTTTATAGCCACTGGTGTTAGTTTTCCACGCTAGGGTTCTCATCCAAAGTCAAATGAACTCAATGAGAGTTGTTCCATTGACTTGACTGGGCTTTGGATCAGATCCTATAACAGGCATAATGACTGGCTTACTCAGAATTCGGTTATAGTTCATTATTATTTCTGAAGCTGTGGGGTTGAATATTGTGGCTTGAGCTTTACCACTTAGGCCCATATGTAGGGCAACATGCAGCCCTTAGTTTATATGGCTGCTATCACCCATGTGAAAATGACTAAAGAAATGCATTGCGGCTTCTGTTCATGAGCAATCCACATGCTGCGATGCTGGGCTTCAGATAACTACTTTAATTTAATCAGTGCAAGGCGATGAGTGAGACAAAAATGTTTATAAAAAGTTTTATTTCACCAACATTTGAGAAAAAACGAAACCCCAACAAGAAATAAAGCAGCTCTTTGTGTGGTGTGTTATAATTCTGAAATTAGTACAATTTACCAAATATTAATTTGAAATCCATGCAAATCATAAGGTGTCAATGCAGTGTGCAAAAACAGGCAGCACTAATATAAAAGATTGGGTCAGCAGCAGTACATTGCTTCCATTACTTCAGTAAGAAGGAGAACAGAGGTCTTGATTCTCTATTGTCTTGCACCTTGTGGACTCATTTAGGGCTCCATCTTGTGTGGGGCTGAGGCTAACCCCACAAAAGGAAATAGATGCTTAACTGCCACTTTATAGGAACATTACGAGTCTTAAGCCATGAGAATAAATGGTGTATTAATATCGGCACATTATTGACATAATCCATGCTTGTAGGCTGCTGGCCTGGCTCCCCAGTCCAGGAAAGAACCAGTGCCACACCAGAGTGTTTCAGGCCCTTTTTCTCAGGGCTTCATATATTCATGGCACCAACAACCTTCAGCAAAACCCCCAGTTAAACAGTTCAGCATAATTCCAACAGTTAAACCAGGTCTTTTCCCCTGACCCAGGGGCTTCCTTGGGAGAGTCTCCCTGCCCTTAGCAACTCTTCCCTAGTCCTCCCACAGGCCATCTGCCTGGGAGCCAACCTGCCACAGACACCAACTTTCTTGTTCTTGCTGCAGCTAAGCTCTCCAGCTTAGCTCCTTCAGCCTTTATAGGAATCCAGTGCTTATCAGGCAATGCCCTGATCTCTTGTAATCTACTAGACTCCAACCTGTTCTTAACCATGCTCTGCCTCAGAAATATGCTGGCTGGCCCCTAGATCCAAGAGTATGTCTACACTGCATCTGGAAGCAAGCATCCCAGGCCTGGTCCCCAGATTGATGCTTGTGCACTACAAATAGTGTCAGGTTTCAGAGGGGTAGCCGTGTTAGTCTGTATCAGCAAAACAACGAGGAGCCCTTGTGGCACCTTAGAGACTACCAAATTTATTTGGGCATAAGCTTTCATGGGCTAGAACCCACTTCATCAGATGCATGGAGTGAAAAATACAGTAGGCAGGTATAAATATACAGCACATGAAAAGATGGGAGTTGCCTTACCAAGTGGGGGGTCAGTGCTAACGAGGCCAATTCAATCATGGTGGATGTGGCCCATTCCCAACCATTGACAAGAAGGTGTGAGTATCAACAGAGGGAAAATTACTTTTGTAGTGACCCAGCAGTATTTCCACCACACCACTGAACAGCACACTAACCCACAGAAACTTTCCTACTAACACTACAAGAAGAAGGATTCTGCATGGACTCCTCCTGATGGTTGAAACAACAGACTGGACTTCTACATAGAGTGCTTCCGCCGACGTTCACAGGCTGAAATTGTGGAAAAGCAGCATTACTTGCCCCATAACCTCAGCCATGCAGAACACAATGCCATCCACAGCCTCAGAAACAACTCTGACATTATAATCAAAAAGGCTGAGAAAGGAGGTGCTGTAGTCATCATGAATAGGTCGGAGTATGAACGAGAGGCTGCTAGGCAATTCTCTGACACCACATTCTACAGGCCATTACCCTCTGATCCCACTGAGGATTACCAAAAGAAACTGCACCATCTGCTCAAGAAACTCCCTGAAGAAGCACAGGAACAAATCTACACAGACACACCCCTAGAGCCCCAACCAGGGGTATACTATCTGCTACCCAAGATCCATAAACCTGGGAATCCCGGATGCCCCATCATCTCAGGCATTGGCACCCTGACAGCAGGATTGTCTGGCTATGTGGACTCTCTTCTCAGGCCCTGCACTCCCAGCTATCTTTGAGACACCACTGTCTTCCTGAGGAAACTACAATACATTGGTGATCTTCCAGAAAACACCATCCTAACCACTATGGATGGAGAAGCTCTCTACACCAGC